GAATGTACAAATAGCTTATTCCTTTCATCTTTTATGGTTAACTTGCTTAATTTGTTCAACCCTGGTGTGCCGATAAAAAAGATATTTTTAAGTTTAGATGAGTTTTAGCCTTTGTCTGATCCCGATTTTTGCAAGAAAATCAATTTTGAAATGCCCATAAGTAATTAAATATAATTTCTTGGCAGACTAATTATGACAAAATAGATATCTTTCCTCCCATTACATCATGCACTAGTTGTATCCAAGGACTGTTTTGCATCTTCGATCTTAAAAATAAAATTACTTGCACAATGCACAAGGGTTTAGGGAAAACATTGTCACAAGTAAAATGGTCATTATGCAGGTCAAGCCAAGGGTAGAATTGAAGAAAGCATGAATGATGGGTTGTCTGGGCCTTCAATTGTGATTTTTTGGACAAATTTTTAAATTCAAATTCACACTTTCAAACCATCTGATTCTAATACTAATCTGATTAGTATCAGAACCAGTTAATGCACATTGAACCCTGCTATGAGTACAGAAAATTCAATAGGAGGACTACGATGTGCATGAAAAAGTCTGTGAGTACAGAAAATTCAAGACAACCAAAATTCCAAGATGTAGAAGTAAGAGTGAAAAAGATTAAAATCGTTTCATCGTCATTTCAAGACTAAAAGAGCATGTTTCGTTATGCTTAAAAGCTAATCAAAGATAACAAATTATTTCCTTCAAATCTAATGATTTTTTGTGCATTTATGGTACGCATTTGGTACAGTATTAGATCCTATTGGACTCAAGACACTAGTGTGAACTACATTTTAGCTTTTTATTCTTTTCTATTATTGTTTAAGGTTGTCTAATCCAATTCTGTAGGATAATTGTTTCAAGTACTTGGATATCGGATTTGCAGAATGTATACCGGATTTACAGTTGCAGATTCAATAACTTTGAATATAAAGGATTCAAAAATACACAACGGATTTAATATAGTAGCAGATTCGTCAATATGTTAAATTGCAGTAAAGTGTAACGGTTGATTTAAGCAGAACTAAAAACTCAAATTTGCATAAACGAGTGACAAACAAATAATCGCAGAAGTTAAATGACAGGAAACTTTTAACCCGAGGCCTGTGTTCCACACAGTTTCCTTAAAACAGATTCGCTCCCTCACCGTCTGTGCTTGAGGTTTAACAGAGCGTCCGTTTCCCAGGATACAACGGCGTAACAGTATAA